GGGAATTAGGGTTTCAGAGAAGAGGCCCCATCTCGTGCTTTAAGATCAGTTGACTTCATCTGTTAGGTTCCCTGTAAGTTGTGAGTTGAGTTCTTATTAATGCTTCTAGTGAGGTGCACACCTTGAGAGTGATCAACACCATCACTGAACTCGGCTTGTGGTCTGCTCAGACCCTTGGATCCTTTTCCAAGTTCTAAAAGACAACCTAGCCAGGTCTAATGGGTGTTCCTCCTGTTGTACTTCCCTCCTTAGTCATAGACTAAGCTCAAATTCTAGTCTCCTAGAATCCTGACTGTTTTCTTCAGTTGGAGCATATAGCTTGACTTTGGCTATAGTTTGAACCCTTTTTCTCTTCTAAGTTTGAGCCCAAATTTCACCTCCACTCACATAGCCCACATGTATCTCTCACTCATTTATCCCAGACTGAACTTATCTTTCATTCATCAGCCATTCCTCCACTTGAATGCTAGATCTTAAATTTGTGGTCACATGCCTCATCACCCAAGCCAGAGGCTGAGTCATGCTTGACCACTGCCTTCTGTCCACCACATCTGTTAGCCATCTCATCAGGTGGATTCTAACACTGTGGTGTTTTAAGGCTCCATCCCCTATTCTCATCCCCCCAGCCTCAGTTTCTATGCTAGTGTAGGTCCTTATCTCTTTCCTTAAGAGCTGCTAGTGAAACCAATCAGACCTCCTGGACCACCCTCCAACCAGCTGCTGGGGGCTCTTTTTTGACACCAGGGTGCAATCCCCTCTTGGTGGCTCCCTGGCTGCCTGTCCAACTTTGTGCCCTGACCCGACTGGACATAGACCGTGTGCATGCTGGAGACAGCTGGGCTGGGATTACTTCGGTACTTTTGCTCAGACTGCTGTGACAATTCTTCCCCTCCTCTCAGCCCAGGGAGAGCGTCCTCTTCCTCCTTCTCCCCTTCCTTCTTATTTTCTTCCTCTAGGAGGCCTCTCTGACTGGACATGTATGGCTAAAGCCCTTTTCTTGGTTCCTCTGCTCTGTCTACTCCATGTTGAGCCTACACCTCCCCACGGTGCCTCCCCAGCTGCCAAATGGGGCCCACAGACAGTGCCTCATTCTGTCTCCACCTGGACCCCAGTCCCACCAAAAATGTGGTGGCTGAATGCCAGGCAAGCATGGAGGTATCTCGTTTTACAGCTTCCTGCTGGGGACCCCAGACAAGTTACTCGTCTGCCAAATGAAATAATAATGTTACCTGCTTCCCAGGATGGGTAGCTGGGCCAGTTGAGCACTTGGTAGAGAGCCTGGCACACTATGAGAGATGGCATCCATATAGCATTGACTGTTGTTACAAATTAGTAGGACCCAGGAGAAAATGCAGACAGACCAGGGCTTTGCTCTGCATAGCCCCTCAACCCCCTCTGTCTTGTCCATACTTGCCTGTCCATACTTCCCCTTTCTGGCTGTCTGCTCTCTCCACCCAGACAAAGGCTTGGGCAGAGTTGTCTCTTCCCCTTTGCCAGCCCCTCCCTGGACCCAGTGCTATTCATGTGGGGCTGTAATCTCCAGTGTCAGAATTGTTGTTCTCAGCCTGGGGTCAGTGTGGGCTGCCACACTCCTCTCTGACTGCAATTGAAATGCTTTCCTCAGCAAGGCCCCTGAGGTTGTCCCCAACCACACAGAGAGTGAGATGCTGAACTGGCACACTTAGCACATTGATAACCTGTGTCTTCTAGCTCCAAAGCCCAGACTCTAGCCATTTGCCCCGCCACTCTTTATTTAGTTGTTTATTATTTTAAGACCGTGGTTCTTGACCTTCCTAATGTTGTGACCCTTTAATACAGATGATGTTGTCATGCTGGGTACTCATATGTGGGTGTATCTGCATGTGGGCAGACCCACCTGGAGACAGATAGAGGAATGGTGTCTTGGTTCCTAAGACCATGGGAAATATGTGTTTTCTGATGGTCTTAGGCAACCCCTGTGAAAGGGTCATTCGACCCCCAAAGGGATTCTGACCCACAGGTTGAGAATCGCTGGTTTAAGAGACAGGGTCTTGGCTCTGCGCATGTGGCTCAAGTGGGTAAGGCGCCAGCCATGTACACCTAAGGTGGTGGGTTCGAATCCAGACCGGCTGCCAAACAATGATGGCTGCAACCAAAAAAAAAAAATAGCCGGGTGCTGTGGCGGGCGCCTGTGGTCCCAGCTACTTGGGAGGTGGAGGCAGGATACTCGCTTGAGTCCAGGAGTTGGAGGTTGCTGTGAGCCGTGATACCATGGCACTCTACCCAGGGGGACAGCTTGAGGCTCTGTCTCAAAAAAAAAAAAAAAGAGACAGGGTCTTGCTCTGTTGCCCAGTTGGTAGTGCAGTAGCATGGCCATTGATTGGAATTCCTGGGGTTCAAGCAATCCTCCTGACTCAGCCTCCCAAGTAGCTGGGACTATAGGTCTAAGCCTGTACACTGGGCTCTACTTTTTGGGGCATCTTTCTGACCTCAGTCTCCTCATCTGCAAAATGGGTATAATTATTGCTTTTACTTCCTCAGCCAGAGGAGGGAGAAGAAGAATGAGGTGAAGCTGGGACCTTGCAAGGAGCCGACCTGGGTAGGGGATATAATGTAGTCACCTTCCATGCAGGAAGGCTGCACCAGGACAGCTACCTCCCTTGCAGCTGCTGGAGCCCGGTGCCTGAGCCCACAGTGCCCCCTGCTGGGGAGTCAGCCCAGACGCTCCCTGTGGGCAGCACCAGCCTTACACTCTACACTTCCACACCACATCCACTGGGAAAGAGTCGCCCCTGCCCTCAGGGAGCCTGGTCTGAGGGAGGATGTGCACCCATGGCTCAGGAAGCTCAGGTTGGAAGTGAAGACTTGTTTCTGTGAAGGGAACTTCCTAGGCCAAGGAATCCACCATTCTTCTCCTTGAAATCTCTCATGGAGAGAAGGGTCTGCGCCTGCCGGTAGGAAGCTGGTGGTCCGGGGGTAGCTACACTCTCTGCCCATCCCACATGGATGTTGGGCACCAGCAGACCCTGGGAAATCAGGGGTGAGGCTGGCCAGCTCGTTTGCTTGCCATCAGCTGGGCCTCTCCCAGTGATGTTCCTCCAGGCCCCCAGCCCAGGCCCACCTTCCTCCCTGCCAGACCTCTCCTCTGAATCAGCTGGCTTCATTATCTCTGCCTTCTCTCAGCCTCATTCCGTGTTGGGTGCTAGGGACTCAGAGATGAGCAAGCTCCTAACTGTCCCCCCAAGTCGTCACTAGCCCCACCTCACAATCTCTCCTCCCTCCTTCATCCCTAGTGTCTTCCTTGCTCCTTGGGTTCTGCAACCTGTCCTGGAGGAGGGCAGCTGTGGTGAACAGACAAGTCCCAGATTAAAATCCAGCCAGCTGTGGCCACCTTCCTACCCCTCCCATGAAGGTCTCCTAGTCCTGCCCCCTTCAACTGCCTCCTCCCCCAACTGCCTACGTGCTCTTAGATGGAATTCCTCTTCCTCTAGGATATCTCCCTGGATGGAACCCAGCCTCTGAATGTCTCCAGCTTTAGACTTTTGCAGGCTTTCCTGGCATACCCTGCTTTGTCCTGGGTCCATTCATTGTCCTACCTGCTTCACTGATGCTCCAGGCCTCAGGAGGAAAGACCTACGCCACCTCCTTCACTGCACACCTAGCAGCACCCAGGGGACAGTGCATATGTGCTTGTTTAAGTCCATTTGAGTCAGTGAGTTTCAATTTGGCACAGTTTTGCCCCCAGGGGACATTTGTTAGTGTCTGGAGATAATTATGGTTGTCACAAATGACAGGGGAAGGTGCTACTGGCATCTAGTGGGTAGAGGTCAGGGATGCTATAACATCGCTATAACATCTTACAGCACACAGAGCAGTCCCTTAAACAAAAAACTGTCCTGCCCAATATGCAGATATTGCCCAGGTTGAGAAAACCTGATTTAAATGAACCCATAGATTGAGACATTCATATAGTGGTCAAGAAGGACAAGGGCACGTGCAGGAGATTGTTCATTCCACCAAAGGAAGCAGAGCAGGAGCCTCAGAGCAGACACCAGCATCCCTTCCACCTGACCTTTACAATCCCAGCTGCCCCCGAACTTTTTTAAGGGGGCTGGGAGGTCTGTGCAAGTGGAGACAGACCTGAGCTAGAAAGAGAAGAGCCAGGGTCTGCCCTGAGAGTCTGTGGGGGAGTGGCCTCTGTGTGGGGCGCCATTTGGGAGCAGGGGGTGGCTTGGCCTCAGTTAAGTTATCTCTTAAATGGAGATGGGGTGGCGCCTTCCAGTCCTAAAGGCCAAATGTCCAAAACTGTGTCTCAGACGTGCACAGGTCATTTTTCCCTCTGCCATGGGCAGGATCCCTCCAGCAGGACTGAAGGTAGAGTACTGTGGCTTCCAGTACTTCCACATGAGGGGTTATCGTGGCCATAACTGCCCTCCCGAGAAACAGCCGTAAGAACAAGAATGCTTCGATAGGTGCCATCAAAGCTTCTTCCACGGCTCCTGGGGACTGACTGGGTGGGTGGGACAGTTGGGAGCAGCTGTTAGCCAGTCCCCGTGCAGAGGTAGAGGCTGCAAAGGGTGGGGTTGAGAATGTCCCAGAGGCTGATCACCTTGAGACAGCTCTCTCTTTGGGGGCTCTTCAAGGCCTTTCTCTGGGCCCTCCCTGGGTGGGCTTGGGTGACCCAGGGCTCTTGGCAGCTGGGTGGGGGGACTGCTCTCCTTTAATGAAGTGTTCTTTCATGGCCAGGGGCCTGGCTGTAGTCCCCTGGGCAGCGGTCCATGAGGTCCCCTTCCCCTCGCCCCTGTAGGGGAAAGTGAGCCTACAGAGGCCCTGCCAGCCCTTTTACCCCAGAGGAGCCCTGGTCTCTGGTTATTATGGGGACCCTGAGCAACTCCTTCTCCAGACCTTACAGAACTGCTTTATGGAGAGTGACCTCTGCCCAGGGTCCAAGCCTAAACAGGAAAGGGATTGGTCTTTGAGGAGAATAAGCAAAAGGCAGAATTATCTGGAAACTTCTGTGCCAATTTCAGCAGCTCTTCCTGAGAGTGGGGTGTGTGTGTGCACGTGCACACACTGCACGGGGACAAGGCGGGATCATGGGTCTTACCATGTGGCTCTTTGCAGGTGAGGCTACATTTTGGAGTTGGCCCTAGGCCAGATGCAGGAATCTCCACTGAGAGGATCATTCACTCTGGGCTTCAGCGCTCATCTCTAAGTAGGCACAATACCAGTCCCTACCTTGCAGATTGTTGCAAGGGTCAAATGGGGAAATATGTGGAAATCATTCAGCATAACTCCTAGGGTATAGGCAGCACCCCAAAACTGCTGGCAGGTATGGATTTTGCTGCTGCTGTCGTCATTATCATCATCATCTTGGTTTCCAGAATCCAACTTTTGGGTGACTGTGGCTTCTGCCTAATATGAAGAACAAAGCGTAGTCAGGTTTTTTCTTAAGCAGCTTGCAGAGGCAAGGTTAGGAGAGGCTCTAGCCCCAGGAACACCTTGGATACTTGGGGTGCAGAGTGAGGACCAGAGACGTGGGGTGGCTATGGGGTGGCTGGGGGCAAAGCTGAAGCTGGCTGTATTTGCACTGCCTTCAGGAAGCATGTATGTGTGGTGAGTGTGTAAGGGCACACAGTGTGGTTTGGGTGTGTGAGAGCATGTGTGGTGTGTATGTGTACTCTGGGTGGGGTTTGTGTGTGCTGGGCATGTGCCACGTGGGACTGTGGCTCTGGCCTGTGTGAGTGAGGGTCGCCCTGTGTGTCTGTGCTCTGGTGTCCCTGCCTCATTGTTCTGCAAGTGAGTGCATTTGTGCTTTAGCTGCTGTGTTAGTGCAGTACCTGGCTGTTAGGTCCTCTCTATGTGTCCTGGTAGGTTGGTTTGTGGGAGCTTTAGTTGATTGGGGGTCTCCAAGGCTGCATCTGGAGACATGCTTTCATGCAAGTGGAAGCTAAGGATTCTTCTCTTCTGTAGTAAATGCTGTATTTTTATTACATCGAACTCCAGGCCAGGAGGGAGTTTAGCATTCTACCCTGGACTAGTTTTCTCATTTTACATATAGGGGTCTCAAGACCTAGCCAGTGACAGGGAATGAACTGAGGCATGGCCTTGGGCTACTGTTGGGAAACTCCCGGGCCCTACTCTCTGCACTGAACAGTACCTCTCCTGGGCTGGCCCTGGGCAGAGGGAGAAGCCTCAGGTACAGGCTTCGGCTGGGCCTGGGCAGGGACTTCTCTGGAACAGGCCCCTGGAAGGCAGGGTCCCCAATAAACAATGAACAAGTTTTTAGTATAAATATGTCCCATGCAATACTTGTGACATTCTTATACTAAAAAATTATTCAGTATTTGCCTGAAAATTTAACTGGGTATCCTTGCTTTAATTTGCTCAATCTGGCAACTTAGTGCCAGATAAGCTAAGGGGCTGATGGAAAAATGGGGGACTTGCCCTTATGCCAGGAGCATAGGTGTGACTTCCCTTGAAGTCCTTGGCCTCTGCCTGGTAGTTCCACATAGTCTAACTTGGTGGACTCAAGGAATGGGTCAGAATGATTCCATGGGGTTCTGGAAGTCTGACTGGCCTGTGACAGCTTTCCTACTGATGTGGCTGCTGTTTTTCAAATATTAAGAGATACTATTGTGATGAATAAAATGCACATTTGTTCCAAGGCAAGCATTACATAATAGCTTTTAGCTATTAAAGCTTTTTCTCAATCAAGAGAATACCAAAAATACAATTACTGGTGAAGAGGGTCAGTTCTGGGAAGTGTGTCTTTCCATACTGATAGAGTGTGAGAATTCTGGGACTTGACCTTTGGTACCATGGACCCCCCTGGACATCTGATGAAGCCTATGGACTCCTTCTTGAAATCATGTTTTCAAATGTATAAAATCAATTCCACAGGACTATAAAAAGAAATCAATGACACTCTAACACAGTTATCAAAACATTGAGGAAACAGTCCAGGCAAGGTGGCTCTTGCCTATTGTGCTAGTACTCTGAGAAGCCGAGGTGAGAGCATACCTTGAGCTCAGGAGCTAGAGACCAGCCTGAGCAAGAGCAAGACCCATCTCTACCAAAAACAGAAAAATTAGCTGGGCATCATTGTGCATGCCTATAGTCCCAGCAACTTGGGAGGCTGAGGCAGGAGGATCACTTGAGTCGAGGAGTCTGAGGTTTCTGTGAGTTAGGCTGACTCCATGGCACTCTAGCCTGGACCAAAAGAGTTAGTCTCTATCTCTAAACAAATAAAGAAAAAAATATTCAGGGAACAGCTCTATGATATAGTAGTAGATGTGCTTCTATACCGACATGTTAATGGTGATCATTTTAAAGTGGTGAGGAGTATACTTCTGACAACAAAGCTTCAGGTTCTGCAAATACTACTATGGATTTTTCCTACATCCACATTGAAAGGAAATGCTAAATTTCCGTTACAGGCTAGTGAAAAAAATACATATATGTATTCCTATGAATTTGGATGGAAGTATATATTATTGCAAGGATTTCTAGGAAGGAGAGGGAGTCTGTGGACTCCAGGATAAGAGTACCTGCAGTATCTGGAGAGTACCTGGAGTATCTTCTAGAGAAGAACTCCAGCCCATGAGAGGATTATAAATGAGTACAGGCAAGAGTCATCTGTACTCAGACACAAGGAAAAATCAGATGGGAGCATGATGGGCAGCTGAGCACATGTGAACTTCGTGGCTGCCCACAGGACAAGACCCGAGGAAAGGTAGGCTCCCACCTGCACTGCCCGGGCCAGTGCTGCGGTCCTAGGGTGAAGCCCTGCTCTCCAGGGTCCTTGCCACTGGGTATGGAGTGTGTGGTCAGACTCTGTCCTTTCTGAGCAGACACCCAGGGGCACTGAGGCTGGGAATCTGGGCACTCTGGAGAGAAGGTTCTGAGTGGAGGGCCTCCAGAAGGTGAGCAGGTGAGATCAGAGGCCCTGGTTCTGAGAATAGCTGTGGGAAGCTCTGGGGGGGTGGGAGGGAAGGGAGTGCTGCAGGGAAGTCAGCAATAGATAACTGTCTGGAGGGCCGGAAGTACACAGGATGAGCTGCATGGGGGACGAAACCACGAGGAACTTTCTGGAAATCTGTGCCTTTTGCATCCTTCTTGAACCCCTCTTTCTCTCCCCTCTTCCTGCCTGAAACCAGGATCCAACTTCCTCTTTGTTCAAATTACAACTCAAAACATATTGAATCTTAGAGAACAGTCCTGTGAGGAGAACCTGTGGAAGTGCATTGTCTCTGAAGTTGTAAGAGAATGTATACACATGTGCAGAAAACAAAAAGTCCACTTGGCATGTGAAGCGACGCGCAGCTCTGCTGGCTGGCCAGCTGCATCCTGCCTGAGTGGACACTAGCTAGGGCCTCCTCTCAGGCTCAGTGTCCCTCCCCTGCTCTTTCCTGTCCCAAAGTGGCCCAAGCTCACGGGGGAGCTTTCCAAAATAACCACATGGAAAACCTACCTTTGAGGAGGAACTAGCATCCTGTGACTTGTGGTGGTGGATCATCACAGCAGAGTCTATGAATGCAGATTCCTGGGCCCCATCTGCCCTGATGAATTGCCCTTTCCTGGCAGGTGCTGGGGCCCCTCCAGCAGATGGTCCCTGATGGCCACTCTGAGCAGCCTACCCCTGACTGGCTGCTTGCTCAGTGAGCTCCAGGAGACAGCTGGAGTTGGGGGCTTCTCATGTAGTGCTTCAGAGACTCGGCTTCAGGACTGAACTGTCGAGCTTTTGAAAACTGCCTTTTGACAGTCTTGATCATTCTGACATGGGGTGAGGTATGGTAGTGTAGTGTACGGTGGGATGGGTGAAACACACGATGCCTTCTGGTGCCAGATGACAGAGGGTAAAGAGTGACACAGTGTGAGGTTTGGGGGGGCCAGCTGACGCATCCTGTCCCGGCCACTCCTTAAGTGGAATAGGAATGATACACCCTGGCCTGTCCATGGGAGCGGACATGAGAGAAGCAGGGAGTCCCACGGAGAGCCGAGGCTTTCCGTTCCTCTGGGACGAGCTGTGTTTGATCCACTGTGGGCCACTTGCATCTGGGGCCTTAAAAACCCGTAGGCCTTCTCGACCAAGTTGTAAATTCCTACTATGAGTTACCAGGGCAACTTTTCCAAAACTATCTTCAGAGTAGCATCAGCATACCTTGGAATGTAATAAAGTATTATTCCACAAAACATACAAAAACAGTGACATTTTTCTTTAAAAGTCTATTTTTGATCCTACCTTTACAGAGTGGTTGGAGCTTGCCCAATGCATGGGCAATATTGAGAGTCTGTGAACAAATGTGTTTTGGAAATGCTGCATTGGACTGTGAGCACCTTGAGGAGAAGAGTCAGGACCGCTGATCCTCCATATCATTATTGGTGGCCCCCAATGAACCACACCTTCTGGTGTTCATGCCCTTGTATATAGTTCTCTACCAAACATGGGCTTGGGTATATGACTTGCTTCTGTTTTGTTTTGTTTTGTTTTTCAGACAGAGTCTCATTCTGTTGCCCTTGGTAGAGTGCTGTAGCATCACAGCTCACAGCAACCTCCAACTTTTGGGCTTAAGTGATTCTTTTGCTTCAGCCTCCCAAGTTGCTGGGACTATAGGCACAACCACAACGCCCAGCTATTTTTTGTTGCAGTTGCCACTGCTATTTTAACTGGCTGAGGCCAGGTTCGAACCTGCCACCCAGGGTATATGGGGCCAGCACACTACCCACTGACCGATAGGCACTGCCCTAGGACTTGCTTTTGACAAGGTGACATTAGCAATATTAGCAAGCACAGCACAAACATAGATCTGATGGCACTGGCTTCTCCTCTTGGGGCTATACTCTTGGAATGATCTCAGGGAAGCTAGCCACCTAGCTGAAAAGAAGAAGAATTTATGTAGATTCTTGAGTGATGAGACAGAACAGGAGAAAGAGAAGCCACCTTAAGTTGCTGAGGCACCAGATATCTTAGTGTGGGCTTCTGGAACTTTCCAGGTTAGTCCAACTGAATGAGTGACACTGGCTGATACCGCTGGGAGCAGAAGAACCAATCAGCTGAGTCCTGCCCAATTCCTGACCCACAAAATCATGAGAAATAACACATCGTTGCTGTTTTAAGCCATTAAGTATTGGAGTGGTTTGTTATACAGCAGTAGGTAACTGGGACACTTGCAGCAGGTGTGTAATAAACGTGCATGAACTGAGAGATGGAAA